GTTATGTTTCATCACACAGTCAGATGCTTTCTTGTAGATATTCCAATGCACCATTAGTATTATATTCATTATATATTAGTATTGATGCATTATATATTTCAGTTTTCCTTCACAATATATTATATGAAAATGGGACATTCATGGTTAGACATCAAATATATTTATTTATTTTAAAAAAGTATAACTATAGACCAAAAAAAGAAAAGAAAAGTAACAAAAACAATGCAAAGTCTATTCACAGCAGGAATTAAGTATATCTGTCCAGTACTCTGACCCAACAGCAGACAAATTCTTACCATCTTTTTAGAAAGCCCTAAAGGTGCTTTTCCAAAAGGTGACTGGGGGGGGGGTCCTTGAAAATACAATAATACAATACAATATAATAGCAGAGTTGGAAGGGACCTTGGTCCTTGGAGGTCTTCTAGTCCAAACCCCTGCCTAGGTAGGAAACCCTATACTATTTCAGACAAATGGCTATCCAACATCTTCTTAAAGACTTCCAGTGTTGGGGCATTCACAACTTCTGAAGGCAAGCTGTTCCACTGATTAATTGTTCTAACTGAGGAGGAAATTTCTCCTCAGTTCTAAGTTNTATCATCTATCTATCTATCTATCTATCTATCTATCTATCTATCTATCTATCTATCTATCATCTCTATCTATCTATCTACTATCTACTATCTATCTATCTATCTATCTATCTATCTATCTATCTATCTATCTATCTATCTATCTATCTATCTATCTGAATGGAAAAAGTCAAGATAAACTATAAATACCATCAATTACACATTTTAAATATTAGTTCTTTTAGAAAGCAAATGTGAATATACATGTTTTTAGTCTCTTTTTTGGAAATTCCAGCCATCTTGGGAACTTGCCATCAGCTTCTCCTGTCATTAGAACTTATCTATAACTGCTTAGACATTATTAAAATCCACTACAGGGCTTCAATTTCCACAATAAGTATTCTACTACACTCGGTTACTTTCCCTTAACATCAAGATTTCTAGCATTATGCGGGCACTTTTCCCCGGTGCTGCTACTTCTTTATTCTCAGCTGAAGTTCCAGAGATGGGAAAGGCAGTAGGTTTTGGTTTATAACTTCCCAGTGGTAGAAGAGAACAGTAGTTGCAGTATCTCTTCCAGAAGTCTATCAATGCTGTTCCAGAATATTCTATCCTCTCATAGAAGAGTAACATGGGGAGAATTGGGGGGGGGGCAGAATGGGGGGGGAGGTGGAATCTGCTGTTAATCAATCAACCACCTCCACTATGCTGTTCCCCCATTGGGGCTCCAGGCCAATTGGCAGAACCAGGTCTTTAGGCCCTTACAAATGGATAGGAAGTTTGGAGCCAACCTCACACCAGGGACAAGATGTTCCAGGGGACAGAGTAGCAGCAGAGAAGGCCCTTCCCCTTGACCCCGCCAGCTTTCCATTGGGCTGATCTGACCCACAGCATGCCTCCTCTGCTGGCACAAGTGGGGAAGGCCAATCCCAGTAGGGTGAGAGGGTACCTTAAGTAACCTGGCCCCATACCATGAAGGGCTTTAATTCAACACCTTGAATTGCACCTGGAAGCAGACTGACAGCCAATGCAGCTTGTGGATCAGTGGTGTTACTGGGGCCACTCTTGGGGGTTTCCTAACAGATTTGAGAATTTCAATTCCCAGAATTCTCAGCATTGGCTCCGCTGACTGCTGATAGCTAAGATTTGAAAGCCACAAATCTGGGGAAAAGGCAGTAAGATCTTGTATTTTGTGAACAGCTATCAGAATCAGCCATGCATCATGGATAACTAAACCCAAATCAAGAATATCTTATTTTATATTTTATTTTATTTATTTTATTATTTTAAATATTATTTATTTGCCACCCATCTTGCAGCTCAAATTCATGACATCAATGAAGCTGGTTCCTACATTTCAAATCTTCAAGCTGCAAACCCCGAACTTCACTGATCTATTTATTCGTTAAGAAATCCATCCTTAGTAAGTTTTACTTTTCATTCCCATCATCTCGTTACCTACCAGTAGCCAACTGTGCTATTGAGTTAATTCATTCACACTTTTCAAACCTATTCCAGGCCTGTTTTGTGTTGACAACAACCCTTTCTCAGATTTTACACTCCATTTGCTAACGATACACAGAAAAAGGCATAATAATTTTTTTCAAAAATAGCGCACAAGGAAATGTCTATAAAAAATATATAATCAGGAAATGAGCACATAAATCAATAGACATTTTCATGTTTGTTTATTTTTTTCCACTGAAATTGATGGAGAAACAAGATAGAATAAATATAACACTGCAAAAATGAGAAATTGAGTGAAATCCAACTTGGCAGATGTACAGTATTCACATCAGTTGCAGTGGGCCCTAGCATTTGATTGGCACTGGGCCTGTTCATTGAATTAGGTATAGATCTTTAGAGTCCCTAACAACAATTCACAATAATCATAATTGTGATTTCGAAAGGAAGGGATAAAAAATAGAGTTAATTCCAATATTATTAAATGGATATACTGTAAATAACAGCTGCAGTATAATCTGTTCTTATTTTTTGCTACTAAGGGAATATTCAAAAAATTCTTATGTTTATGTAAGGAAAAGCAGAGGTCAGAATGATTGGATGGTTAAGTTTGATATGTCCTTCCTTCTGTAATACATCTAAACAAATGTCACTTAATTTCTTAACTTTGGTTGATCAAGTATGGTAACTTCAATGGGAAAGGCATAATAGTTGGGTTTGTTTGTTTTAGATAACAGGAATGTTTATGGTAATAGGATGGAGAAAAAGAAAGTAAAACATCATTAATTAGTTTTGCATTTTTCTTTTGGAGGGGACTCTGTCTTAAGCTCAGACCAACTCGTATATCTAAAACAATAAAAATGGAAATGCTCTTCATAGCCTAGAGATGTGGTTTAGTTACAGAAAATGAGCTTATAGGAGTTTACATTTCAAGGTAAATTTACCCCTTGTAAAACTGCAAACTGAAAAGCATACATTATGTCCAATTATAGGGTTACAACAGAAATATGCATAATGCTCCCCCCACCGCACAGAAGTTGTAAACTACTTTTATCATTTGGTGGATGAAATGGAAACATTAATGAATGAAAGGGCAAAGTGAAGGAGATGATAGGCCCAAGCATCCAAATTAAGACCATGTGATCCTGGGGATGGTGCAACAGTCATAACTTGGATGAGGAGGAGGAATCATAGGTCACTATTTCAAAGGCCATAATAACTTCAAACAATCACTAAACAAAGAGTTGTTAAGTTGAGGATTACCTGTATCCTTCTGATCAGTTCTAGAGCCAGATGAGTGGTGCTGGCTGTAAGGAACCCTGTATTTCATTGCTAGAGAATTGTATGGTTTAGCCCTACTTCATTAGAGAATTGTATGGTTTAACCCTATGCAATCAGAACTGACAGCAAAACTGTCAGCTCCTCCAATCATAGCTCCAGTGTTGGGTGAGATGCCAAAAGAAGCAGATGGAAGGAGATGGTCTCTGATAACCACACTATTCTTGCCATCCTTCCTAAACTGGGAAAAAGGGAAAAAAAGGAATGGAATTGGAAAATACCCACTAACTCGCCAATACCATAGTGTACTTCCTGGTAACCGAAGAATTTATGAAAAAGAAAAAGAAACCTGGTTCCAGCTCTTACAGGAGTGGAGGTAAGGTGGTGAGAGGTGGCTGTTTTGTATAGGGGAAAATCCTTGTTAGATAGAACTGTTCTCTGCCGATTCCAAAAGCAAACAGAGCTGAAAAACTGTGCCCAGGAACCAGATAAGAGAGGCATATCCACAGCTACCTATCCTGGCCAATGGGAGATGAGTGGTTCTCAGCCTATCATTGATGAAATGAAGATAATTTGTACAGCAAGGTAAGTGGCAGGAGAGGAAGAAAAGGCTTAGGGGCTAAGACGCTGAGCTTGTCGATCAGAAAGGACAGCAGTTTGGCAGTTCGAATCCCTAGTGCCACATAATGGAGTGAGCTCCCGTTGCTTGTCCCAGCTTCTGCCAACTTAGCGGTTCGATAGCATGTAAAAATGCAAGTATAAAAATAGGGACCACTTTGGTGGGAAGGTAGCAGTGTTCCGTGCGCCTTCGACGTTTAGTCATGAAGGCCACATGACCATGGAGACATCTTCGGATAGCGCTAGCTCTTTGGCTTTGCAACAGAGATGAGCACCACCCCCTAGAATCAGGAACAACTATCACATATGTGCGAGGGGAATCTTTACCTATCATCAGAAAGATAAGCTGCTTCTACGGGAGCCTGAAATGAGACAAAGGGGGTGCCATATTCTTCAACACAATGTCTTTTAAGTGGAGCTCATAGATTCAGAAGGTGGCAGGACAGAGTGAATTGGAAAGCCATAACTCACCCTTCTCAACTCATAAACTCTCAAGACACCCAATGAAATTAGCAGGAAAATGTTTTTTTTAAAGTTCACATAATCTTTAATTCATGTCTGAACTTCACTATTGCAGATAACTACAGTCCAGTGGGGAAATTCAATTTTTTTATTATTGGTTCTATGGGCGTGGCTTGGTGGGCATGGCAGAGGAAGGATAGTGCAAAATCTCTATTCCCACCCGACTCTTGGGGCCAGCCAGAAGTGGTATTTGCCGGTTCTTCGAACTATTCAAAATTTCCACTACCAGTTCTCCAGAACCTGTCATAACCTGCTGAATTTTCACCCCCGCTACAGTCCCACTGTCAACAGTCTAATGAGAGATGAAAAGATGCTATCAGGGGCAATAAACTATGCAAGCTAGAAACAGATCTGTTTTCTTAAAGTTCCTGAATATTATAGGATGAAAATAAACAAGTAAACACATATAAACACATACACAGAAACAATAAGGGCTGAGCATTTCCTTTTTCCCTATCTGTAAATTGGATGTTCAGTTTAGAAAGAGGGACTCGAGGTAACCTCTGTTAACTTCCTAAGCATTTGTTTTTCTCATAGACTGAGACTTACCCTATTAAACTGAATGGACGCAACAGCTGAAGAAACCGATTCAGAGAAGACAGCATTCTCTAATTCTAGCTTTCCGTTGAATTTCAGTGCTTTTTTCAAAGAAGCTGCAGTAAGAGAAGATGGCTTTGTAAAAGAGGAGCAGGAACACCACAAGTTAAACATAATTCATAAAAATTATCTTCACTGGAAATTGATACCTGCCTTTGCAATTTGCCAGATAAACATTTATATTATTTTTTTGAGCATCCGTATAAATCTAAAAGAGAAGAAATATTGATATATATTATTGAGGTTTATTAAGCATTTTTAAAACTGTTTTATGTAAATAAAAACATTAATAGAATTAATTCTTACACCAAGGAGACAAAGGAATGAAAACACATCTCAAAACACCAATCTTTCTATTTTTCTAAATTATTATTTACCCTTCATTTTTCAATGGTATTATTAGCAATCTTTTTCCCAAGATTCATAATATTCTTGCTATAGATAAAAAGCTCTTCAGATTTTACTAGTTTCTAAAACATTCAGCTCTTTTTTTGTTGTTGTTTACGCATTCTTTAGGTGTCTGCCTTGTTTTATTTTGGCGATAAGTGCTTGATTTCTAAATCTAATTTTCTTGCTAATTGTGAGGGTTTCTTTTTAATTACATTTAGCTGGTTTATTCATTCTCCTCATACTACTTGCTTCCATAGCCTCCTATCTCATTTGCTTTGCATCATTTTCTTTCAGAACATTTGTTAAGACTTAAGATAAATTTTGTTCTGTTGCCTAAGGGCTAATACAGGATTTTTTTTTTCTTTTCATACCAATTGCCTGGACAAGTCCACACATTTTCTTGACACATTCAGAAGTGCTTTGCCATGGCTTTCTACCTAGGCCTGAGAGAGTGAGAGTGACTTCCCCCAAGTCATCCAAATTGTATAATACAATGAATAGGTGTGTTTGAGAGGGAAAATGAAATGAACAATTACAGGTTATACTTACATGCAAAGTAATCACAGTATTTTTAATAGTGTAGGAAGTTAGCATTCAACCCTCTCCTAGAATGAAATATTCTAGGAAATATTAAAAAGGCAGAATATTATATTTCCCTGGATGAAAAATGGAGAAACATTTTTTAGGCAGGAAGCAGACTCACTGTTAATAGCCCCCACCCTCCTCAGTAGCCCACAGCAGATGTCAGCACTTAAGAGATAAAGAGAGAGCTAGGTCTATTCATAAGCAAGTGCCCTCACCTAAGATTCAACAAAGGTAGGATTAGCCCTCTACCCATCTAGCAACAGAACTCACTACATGGCACCTGGGGAGATTGCATCACCCAGCAAGGCTCAACCAAAGCCTGGGACTCAAAAGACAACCTACAAGTCACCCCTGCATGGCCCCATGGGAGTCTGACAACCAATCAGAATACAAGCTCAAATTCAAAGCCGAACAGAGGGTATAAATCTCTCTCAACCATGTGCCTTTTTTTGCTCAGGACCTCAAAACCGTGTGGTCCTCTCCACCATTAAACCACCATTCCAAGCGGCCACCATGTTTCCAGTCTCTTTCTTCCCAATTGGAACTGAACCCAGATGGACATTTCTTCCAACAGTAGAATGTAGACTAATTTTAATATATGGATATTCTTACAGAAAAGTACAGGTAGTAGGTGGCCTGTTGTTAGGAAAGAATGTTTGTCCATTAAAAATGGCTATGTATAAAGTATGACTGTAGTTTGGCCCCTTGTTATATGAAGTGACAATTGGGTATAACAAGAAAAGTGTAGAGGTTGATGCTGTGGGAAACAGATGCTTAAGAAGTGTAAATGGTGAACAACACCGATGCTCAAGAAGGAATGGGTGCTGAATGTATGTGAATTAAATGCAAAACTAACTGATCAGTACCCTCCCCCCCAAAAAAATCATTGAATTGTCTGGTCACATGGAGAGAATCAGTGAGGAGTGAATGACAGTCAATTATATGAGATGGATGGGGTGCATAAAGCAATAATAATTCTTTTTAATGTCCGCCTCTCAAAGTTACATTTTGGCAAATGAGTACCTCATTCTGCATGAAGTTTATTCCATAATGAGACTCTGAATAAATGTTTCAGCAGTCTCTCATATATCTAACATAATCTATGTTTCCTATCATGACAACTCTGCTATTCCTTGCTGTATTTGCTTTACAGAATCTTTCTTGTTTGTTTGTTTGTTTTGTTTAGCAATGATTTATTCAACAAATGCCCATGAATTTCAAAGCAATGAGCTGAACAGGCACACGGTCGAAAGTCATAATAGCATCTACAGTATACTGTGTCCAGTGGTGGGTTCTGGCTCCCATTGCAATCAGTATGCTACAATGGGGCCGGGTGTTCACCATGTGCATGCGTGCAGCGCGCACATGCATACCCACGACGTTCCAGCTGCTCGGCAGAGCGTTGCACAGGTGCCATATGCCCCATACGTGTGCGTAAATACCCCGGTCAGTTCAGGTAGAGGTAAGGAGAGCTAGAGTGTGGGCCCTCCATAGCACTATACCGGAACGGTACCTGGTGCTCCCAACAGGCACTGGTACACCCGTACCTGGGTGTACCCGTCATATCCCACCACTGACCGTATCACCTGCTTTAAGTTCAGGAGTCAAAGAACAAAAAAAATCAAGAAATAATCTATCTGAAATCAGTTCTTAGGTGTGGAAGAAAGAAAGGCATACCAGCATTGGGAAGGATTAATAGAATGCCAAATATGTAGCTACTAAATGAAATCCGGAGACAAAATCTAGCAAAATATTAAGAATATGAAAGTGTAATTTGAATGGTAGTTTATAAACTAAAAAAGGATGCAGTATTTGGTTCAACGGTTATATGGTCCACTAAGTTTGTATATAAATATGGAAAACAATTAACATTTGTTCTGGACTTATTCGAAGGTCTTACTAAATACATTGTAGGTTGAGGGGGTCACAAGCTGTATTCCAAATAGCCACTAGGGGGAGGTGTTCTATAATATAAACATTCTCTAAAATACAGCATGGTTTTTTAAAACTCAGATTTAAAAAAATGCAACAGTACAGTAAATGGTTTGATGGAGGAAGGTCTGTTCTACCTTTCTCGGAAAGCCAAAAAGAGTGTGTCATTAATAATTAACCTGCAGTTGTTCCCTACCTAATCTGCAGTTAATATTCAAAATGTGACTTCTCTATTGAATGACTTTAAATGCTGGCATAAGTTGTTAGTAGCTGTGCTGATACATGAGAATACAATTGGCGGGGGGGGGGGGATTGAAAACAGATTACACCTATTCCAATGGTATACCAAGAATTCCTCTGCTTTTCTTCCCTGAGTTAAAAACAAAGCCTAAAGTTAAATATTAGAGAGCTTCTGCTGGGACAATATATTCTTGAATGTCTCCAATGGATGGGAACTGACAAATATTCAAATTATCATTTTGAAGGCTAATTGTAAGTTTTCAAGGAAATGTGTATGGCTCTTATTATTATCATTGCTGATATTTTCGGGGAGAGTGAAACTGCTCAGGCAAAGGTTGCTTAAGGGGAAACTTTACCATCTTTAATCTGGCAAAAGTTTTCAGAAACACCCACCCCATATAAAGTTCTCCACAAAAACAAATAAAATACAAACAAGACATGTCATATGGCATGAAGCTTTGACTGTTTCTCTCTCACTCAATTACAAAGCAATAACAAGGACCAAAAAATGGCATGTCTCACTCCTCAGATTTTATTATGTAAATTTCCCAGCAGCTATAAATCCAACCCAAAGAGAAAGGGAATTACTGGAGCAGAAACTGGGGAGGGGGAGGGCAAAAACAGATTTTGTCAAAAAATAGAAGTCATCATCATTCAGAAACAATGAAGAGATAACCTATTGATAGGTTATTTCTGTGATCAGTTTCATGTTCATCCATTTCTGTTTTAGATTGTGAATTTGAAAATAAAATAAAATATGTATCTGATAATGTGTTTGGATAAAACACAAAACATATTCTATTCGCACTATATTATAGTATAAATTATATCAGTTGATAACTTCAAAATTGGTACAATGAGTTTAAAAGAAAAAAAGTTCTGGTATGCCTATTAATTTTACGATGCTTAGAACAGTGGTGGGATTCAAAAAAATTTACTATCAGTTCTGTGGGGGTGGCTTGGTACTGTAAAGTCTCCATTCCCACCCCACACCAAGGGAAGGATAATGCAAAATCCCCATTTCCTCCCAATCAGCTGGGACTCAGGAAACAGAGAATAGATGGGAGTGGGACCAGTCAGAAGTCATATTTACTGATTCTCCGAACTACTCAAAATTTCCACTACTGGTTCTACAGAACTGGTCAGAACCTCCTAAATACCACCTCTGGCGCAGATTTACTTGGATTCACTCTAATACCACTTTCTAGAGAAGGTGGTTGAGAACCAGCTGCACTGCAGCTCCAGAGGGAATGGGATGGATTACCCAGATCCTCCAGTGAATTTCAGGCCTACATATGGGACAGAAATGACATTGGTCACACTTTTGAATGACCTCTAGTGGAAGCTATTTTGGCCTAGTGCATCCATCTCATATCTTCTTGACTTCTCGGTGGTTTTCCAACTGCTCTGCTCAATCAAATGTAGCTCATTTTGCAAATATACCTTTAAGATTAAGATTTCATTTCCATGTATACCGTACCTTTGTCGATTTATGCCATAAAATGACTCATAACCTGAAGAGTAAATTATTCTCTTGAAGCATATTTTACATGGAAGAGGTAGTTTAATATTGTGATCATCAAGAAATGAACTTTCAGACTTTCTCTAAAATCCAATAATAAGGAATACCACAATAGTTCTATGACTATTTCAGGAACATCAAGAAATATGTGGAGTTGCAATATCCTTGAAGTAAAGATGAATATTTCAATAAAAAAGGGAAGCAAGTGTATTAGGGCACTTCGTTTTAAGTACCAGTCTTCTGACTTCTGTGGCAGCTTCAACCAACTAAATGTAATGTAGAATGGGGTTTATTTAAAAACTAGATGAAAGTGAAGACATAGAAGATCATAAATACCTGAATAAGTACAGAGATACCAGTGTAGTCAAAGAAAGTCAAGCCACTGCAGTCAAATATTAGATGGTGCTTTTCACTGGAATGCTGTTGTAAAGATGAACATCTTAGATCAGCAAATGCAGGATCTATATTCCCTTCTAGAAGAAGTAGAAATTTCCAAATGAAAAAACCTTTTCTAGAAATTGAAAAATATCGGCTTTTCTTTCCAAAATGAATCCAACCTGTGTTACTTTGGGTTTTCTTCCAGGTCGCAGACTCTGTATGTTTGTTAAGCTGCAGAGGCCACAGTGAGAACAAAGTTGCAGACATAAGCCGTTTTTCTAATTCTCCACAAGATCAGTGACATAGAAGAACTGAAGGATGAACGAGCAACCCATTGCTCCTAGAAGTGTAACCCATGAAAATAAACAATATCCAGGCAAATATCTGCTTTAAGCGTGGATGCATAGCAACAGCAATAGCTCTTATATACTGCTTCATGGTGCTTTATATGCCTCTCTAAATGGTTTACAGAGTCAGCATATTGCCCCCAACAGTATGGTTCCTCATTTTACCCACTTCAGAAGGGTAGAAGGCTAAGGCAACCTTTGAATTGAACTGCTGGTTGTTGGCAGAATTAGCAGCAGTACTGCATTCTAACCACTGAGCCACCTCGGTAGTAGTCCAAGAACGTCAGATACTGATACTATTAGATTATTCTAAGCAGTAGGATTGTTCCACTAAAAAAGGAAATACTTCTGAAATTACTCTGGAGGACATGCTAGTCTGTGGGTTACATCTTATTGAAGTCCCCACTTCAGAATCATAGAAGCTTCTTGGATGAAAAACAAAACATTTTCAAGGGAAAAAAGCAAGGAAGTCCAGTTGCCTTTTAAAAAGCACTTTTGGGACTTCTCATACATGTTTGTTGCTCTTTCACTCAATTTCAGGATTCTTCAGTTTTTATCATTTAAGAAAAACTTTAAGAAAAGTCAAGCTCTTCTTCCACCACAACTTTTTCCTCAGATACAATAGGGATATCAGCTATAGGTCTACAGTGCTAGGGAGGGGGGGCTCAATGAGAACACAATGTGACAATACTTCTAAAATAAACTAGGAAGAAAGCATACTTTACTTTAGCATATAAAATCCAATAAATTACAGAAGGAAGCATTTTTGAAAATCTTGTACATTTATACTTTGAAAATTTCCTATGTTGCACTTGGAAAAACTTTGAGCCAACCTTGTAAATAAGCGCACAAAGATATTTTCCTGGAAGAATGTTGATCGGCCTCCTGAGAGTTGGCATAGGAGAGACAGAAAACTTTATATTCTTTTATAGAACTCCATTAAATTCCTATGCTGTGTGTTAAGGAGAGTTTTTCCTATCCATAACAGTCTATTTGGATTCTGCACTGCACACAATGGAAGAATGAATATTATCAATAAGCAACAGCAATAGAATTATATACCACTTCACTGTGCTTTACGGCACACTCTAAGTGGTTTACAGAGTCAGCATATTGCCCCCAACAATCTGTGTCCTCATTTTACCCACCTCAGAAGGATGGAAGACTGAGTCAACCTTGAGGCAGTGAGATTCGAACTGCTGGCAGTCAGCCGTCAGCCAAATTAGCCTGCAATAATGCATTTTTAGCACTGCGCCATCACGGCCCTTATGTTACTCTGCTACAGTATGCTCACCCTTGCATTCCTTGTCTCCTATGACTTCCACATAAATTAATAAATAAAAGGCTCTTTAAATTGAATGGTCAGCACAATCCCTTCCCTCAACTGAGGGTACATGAATTACACTACAGGGAACAATCCAGGAATGAAATTCAGCAGGTTCTGACAGGTTCTGGAGAACCGGTAGGGGAAATTTTGAGTAGTTTGGAGAACCGGCATATACCACCTCTGCCTGGCCCCAGAGTGGGGTGGGAATGGGGATTTTGCAGTATCCTTCCCCTGCGATGCCGCCATGCCACTCCCACAGAACTGGTAGTAAAAAAAAATTGAATTTCACCACTGGAACAATCTGATATCCACCTTTTAAAAAAAAATTCATACCACACAGACATGCCTTCTATGCCACTGTTTCCCAACCTTGGTAAATTTAGGTTCTGTGGATTTCAACTAAACTTCCAACATTGCTGTCTGGGGAATTCTGGGAGCTGAAGTCCACAAATCTTCAAGCTGCCAAAGTTGAGAAACCCTTTTCTAGCCCTTTTCCTTCCTATGCCCGATGGAAGATATGTGGACAGCAGTAAATTGGATTCTTTCCTATGATACAACAACCTGACAGTCTCCTTGATGGAAAGGGGCAATCTAAAAACATGAAATATAAATAAACAAATTAACAGGAAAATTAACTGATTATTTCTTGACTTATTCACTCACCATGGCAGTTTCCATTGGATAATGAAGTGAGCAATATGTTCTGTTCATACTGAAACAAAAAGCACAACAGCATAGTTGATTGCAATGCTATTTCTTATTTTCTGCTTCAAAAATGGTTATTCTGTTATGAATACAGTGTGTATTTGCCTTGCGAACGACCCCGTCAGTTATTTTTCCACTATTTTTGAATCATCGAGTTTCTTTATGATAGACCTTCAAGAACTTGGCTGCCAGGGCAACAATATTGTCATTTAAAAGGGCATATTATATACAGATCAAACAAAAACAAAAAGACAATTTGAATACAGTTTCCCTGGAAGCATGTTTACAGGAACAGGTTTCCAAGAATTGCTAAGGCTATGGGGAAAATTTACAGCATTGTTATTACCTGGGATGCAAAATGTAACCCATAATGAAAAATAACAATAGGAAAGCTGCATACTTCCCAGTGTTTGTTTATTATTGTTGTTCTTGTTGTTGTTGTTGTTGTTATTTACTGGCAGCAGTGTTGAAACAGAGGCAAAACCCAATCATTTTTATCTGATTTCTTTAATTCACTGTAGCAACATGGATGGAAAGTATTGATTAATTTTAAAGTTGACTAAGAGACTTTGCATGAAATAAGCAATATGCTTCCCTCCAGATGTAGATCTATCAGCATTCAGGCATACGCACACATGCCTGATTGATTTATAAGTAAAATCATGCCACTGTTTCTAGATCAAAAAGTCTCATGTTTATATATCCCACTTTCCAGCAACACTGATTCCCTAGCTCCATTCTTGCTTTGAGACACAGTGCTTGATGTGTTTCCTTTGCAAAGGAAGTAAGTTTTTATTCTAGTGTTTAATCATTGTGCGCAGGTACATTTAAACCATAGTTTATCAGATTAGAACAAACAGAAAAGTATTATTTGCTTTAAACCAGGAAAGGAGATATTGGTAATATTTGAGAAGAAAAATGAAAGACAGAAGGTGTGCATAAACTGAGGAGACATTTGAAGGTAGGCAGGCAAGCAGGGAGAGGGGGAGAGAGGGGGGGAGGGAGGGAGAGAGGGAGAGAGAGAGAGAGAGAGAGAGAGAGAGATCATATGACCATGTGATTTTACTGCCAACTCTGCTTGTCAGAGGCCTAGGAAACATGCACATGATAAAATATGGTTCTCAGGATGCTGCAATAATTGTAAGTGGGAGACAGTTTGGACAAGTTCGGCTGAACTGGTAGTAGCTTGGCGGCCTGGGTTTCTGGAACTGGCAGCAAGCCAGGCCTGGCACGGCCCCCTAAAGCGGTTCTCCCCCCAGCAGCGCCATCTTGGTTTTTTGCTTCTATGCATGCGCAGAGCAATTTTAGTTATATTGTGCATGCGTGCGTGGCACGTCCCTAAACAAACCAGCAGTAGTCTCTGCCAGAACCCACCCCTGTAGGAGACCAGTTGTAAAATTAATTTTTCAGTGCTGCCATAACTTTAGTCACTAAACAGGACAGTTAGTAAGCGAGCACTAGCTGTATGTGTAGAAAAAGGAGTAGGAGAACCTGGGTGCAGAGTTAAAAGTGGGATCATCCTAGAATCCTTACATAGCCACAAATGAACTAAGCCAAAGTCCAACCCCCTCTCCACTTGAATACCATTGAACTCCAAGCAAGTGCTGACCTTTAGTTGAGAAGATTCCTGTGTATAGGTTTTAACAATAAATATGTTTAATTAAACCTTCATGTGTAGACCTGGTCTTTCAAATTTCCCTTGAAAGTATGCCCTATCTGACAAGACATGTATCTTGCATCAATACTAACTGCATTTCAAGGGCACTCTTTTCTAGACAAAAAGGAGTTTTGCAGGCAGATATCTCCATTTGTGGATTCATATTTTGCCCCTCGGTCTCTTTTTGGAGTACAATATGCTTTCTTTGGTAATAATTGGACAATTGAAAAGCCACATTTAAAACTGTTACAGCAAAATATGCTTATGTTCTCAAGCTTTAAATAGAAAGGAACTTGCTTCCATTTGATTCTCTCACTTCTATTTCTATAGCTATCTACTACATTAAATGCCAAATCCATTAAGTTTTAGAAAACAGCTAAATCATTTCTGGAATCTCTGAAAGGTTATAAAGCACTTATTGTTGTCTCTTCAGTAGATAACCTCCACTGGTATTATGCCTGAGGAAAATGACACTGACAGCTTCTCGTTCTATGAATTTGCCTAATAATTTTCAGAGGATAAATTCTGCCCATTAACAACCCACTCACAGCATCCCTCATGTTTAATAGAATTCTTGACTTTACAAGCTTTACAACTCATCTCAATTTGGACAATTTCAACAGAGGCCTTATCAATCTGCATGTGTCTGTGTATGGGTGTTCTTGCTGAGTATCAGAATTATCTATCTTAATTTCTTGCCCGATTGGATCCTAGCTGCTAGTTCTAATCAGATTACTGTTTTAGGGCCATTTCAAATCTTAATTGATTTAATTTCATATCCTCAAAAATTATTTTTAGGGATAGAGGGCATTTGTACTACATAATCAAAGTCTTTGCTTATGATGATGATCTGCTGGTTTGAAAAATCCATCTTATTTTTTTTCAACCATATTTAAGTGAAATCAGCAGAAACATTTCTGTAGCAATAGAATTAAATGCAGATCCAGAACTGTTTCACAAGAACAGAATTCATTGGAGAAGGGCAAAGAGGCCAATGCTTTTCTGTAATAGCCAGCATTGTTCCGCGAATAACTATCTATTTACACCACCTTCCATATTTACACCTCCTTTAAAAGTAAAGGTTTTTCCTGCCCAATCGTGTCCAACAGTAGGGGATAGTGCTCATCTTAATTTCTTAGACGATAGAGCCAGCATTGTCCAAGACATTTCTGTGGTCATTTGGCCAGTATGGCTATACGAGAAAAGCGCATGGAATGCTGTATCTTCCTACTGAAATGGTACCTATTTATCTACTTGCATCTGCATGCTTTCAAATTGCTAGGTGGCAGTGGTGGGATTCAAAACTTTTTACTACAGGTTCTGTGGGCCTGGCTTGATGGGCATGGCGTAGCATGGTGGGTGTGGCTTGGTGGGCATGGCAGGCAAGGATAGTATAAAATCTCCATTCCCTCCCCACTCCAGGAGAAGGTTACTGCAAAATCCCCATTTCCTCCCAATCAGCTGGGACTCGGGAGGTAGAGAATAGGTGGGAGTGGGGCAAATCAGAGGTGGTATTTACCAGTTCTCCGAACTACTCAAAATTTCTGCTACAAGTTCTCCAGAACTGGTCAGAACCTGCTGAATACCACCTCTGCTAGGTGGGCAGGAGCTGGGGCAAGTAACGGGAGCTCACTTTGTCACACGGCATTCAGGTCTTGAACCTGGACTGTCAGTTTTCCAGTTGACAAGCCCATCATCTTAACTGCTGAGCCAATGCACTCCTCACATCTCCTTTAGTCAGATATTTCAGAAATAAAATTTGAAAGTAGGATAGAGTGAATAGGAGGACAGAAAATGCCTGGCAACAAATGAGTCTAGGTGCAATCTCAGACAGATTCATGTAGGACTCTTTTCAGAAACTTGGAACCTGCTATAGGTCACTGTAAGCAAAAGTGAGCTGGGGCAGAAGAGAAGTCCAACTCAGCATTGTAGGCACCCTTTTGACCTTGTGTGAAATTTTTAATCATTACCTCTTCCCAGCAATACCAAATACAATCATTTAAATGCAACTCTAAAGGCCAAATTAATTTTCACTTTTCCCTTCCCTTTATTAAGTGCATCTTACCTTGTTCATATCTTCCGACAGTTCCCTTGCACATGTCCACTCCTTATAGATTATTTCCAATATATTGGCGTAAAACGTCTTAGCATTCAGAAAGACTAATGGGTTATTCACTGACACTATTTTCACTGGTTGTGAAGATTCCTTTAGAATAAAAAAAAAACCAAACTTTAGAAAATAAAATATTTTAAATGCTTTATAACATACAACCCCTGCATTATCCACATGGATATTAGGAGCACAATCAAACGCATTTTCAAATAGGCCAATGACAACATGATTTAGGTTAGTACTGGTTGATCTAACAGATCTGAGCTACAATAATGGGGAACTACTAAACCAAAGTGGATATATATATATATATACACACATACACACACACACACACACACACACATATATATATAATTAACAAACATGTAAAATACACACACACAAAACCTAGACGTATACCACATTTACACAATACAATACGAACAGGAGCTTCCTGTTCTTTCTAATAGCAATTTATCAATCGATACCGCTCACCTTATATTATTTCCCTTTCTATTGGATTTCATTTGGATTTCACCATTCTTAACCCTCTTATTTTACTCACAACTATTATTTTTTAAGTTTTGTTATATTCCTTCATTGATTCTTGTTTCTTTCCTCCATCCACCTATACCATTTATCCCATATCTGGTAGAATTCTGATTCTTCTTTTCCCTGGATTTTTTTAGTTAGTTTGTCCATTTCAGCACAATCCATAACCTTTCTTATTATTTCATCTTCGCTTGGAATTAATTTGTTTTTCCATTTCTGGGCAAAGGCAATCCTTGCCACTGTAATTATATGTAGTATTAAATAATGGATTTCTTTTTTATATTTCGCAGACATTATTCCTAATAAAAAAAACTTCAGTTTTCCATTCTATTTTAACCCCTGTTATTGCCTCCAGCCAATTTTTGATCCTTTTGTGGAGAAGTTTTTATATCTCTTGGAAATCTGGATTTTTGCAGACTTGCAAAATCTGATATCCCTACATTTATTGACTGAGCAATTGTTCTAGATACATAAATTCCTCAATAATATTGTTATTCTCTCAGAATTTGTGCTTGCAATTTTACATTTTTGTACAGCTCCTTTAATTTCATAGTTAGATTTGCTGTTTTATTTATGGAAATTACTGTTTATCATAAAGTTCAATAGACTATACAATATAAAATATTATCATCCAAACCCAAAGGAAATGAAGCAGAGATATCAATTCACAGCAAGTTGGCAGCCACAAGTTAAGAGATTCCAGACTACTCCCCAATAATTTTGTCATACTTTAAGTTGAGGGAATGGCATGGATATGCCTTGAATTGCCATGAAATAGGATTGTCACTAAATTGTGAGTGAACAGGTGAGATGAATAAAGTCACATTTCTCTCATCACTTTGGAGTATATACAGGATGAGCAAAGCCTGAACACATACAGTCCTTACATATTTGGCCATCTAGAAAAAGAACAGAAACCTTTACATTTCTATATAAAACTTCAGAGGAGGAAGAGGAGCAAAGAATTTTTTCCAAAGGAAAAAAAAATATAACAAAAAAATAACCTTACAAAGTCTGCTTCTGTTTTGAATCTGCATTCTGTTTCATTCATGTGCTTCAAGCTCAGTGTTGTTGCTCTATGACAAATGTATAGAAGAATGTGAAACAAATACATAAAACAGAAAATCTTTTTAAAATCAAGTGTTTTTTTCTTGTGGTCCTTTTCCAAGTGTCCCAGATGCTGTAAATTACTTCCTAGCATAAGGTGCTTGCATGTTTAAACCATAGCATTCATATTATACTCTAAGAATGCTTAATATTTAAGCTAATCATAGAAGTGGTATATTTATTTAAGTTGTCTTGCTGGTCATGAAAGATAAGCATTCTCCCGGTAGATTTTATATAACTTTTTTATATTTCCGTGCAATTGTTAGGGTACTACCAATAGCAATAGCACTTCAGTGATGACAAACCTTTTCCGTCTCAGGTGCCAAAAGCATGCGCCCTTGCATGCCCACCCCCACAATTTAATGACTCCCCACGATGTGCCCACTGTGCATATGCACATAACCCTACCCCCTGCTGCCACACAGCTTGTAGGCATGGCTTTCTTGGAGCCTGGGGAGGGTGGAAACGGTCTCCCCTGCTCCCCCCGGAGGCCCTCCAACTTCCGGTCTGCGCGTTGGGCTGTTTTTTGCCCTCTGGAGACTTTAGGGGAGCCTCCTGAAGCCTCCGGGGGACAAAAAATGGCCCAACACACAAACCACTTTGGGTGGTTTTTCACCCTCTGGAGGTTTCCGCAGGCTTCCCTGAAGGGCAAAAAATGGCCAAAAATCAAGGCTGAAATCAGCTGGCCAGCATGGGCATGCACACTGGAGCTGACAGGGCAATGCCTCACATGCCCTCAGAAATGGCTCCACGTGCCACCTGTGGCATCTGTGCCATAGGTTCACCATCACAGACTTAGACTTATGTACCACTCCATAGTGCTTTACAACACTCTCTAGGTGGTTTACAGAGTCAGTATATTGCCCCCAACAATATTGACCATGGAAGGATGGAAGGCTGAGTCAACCTTGAGCCAGTCAACATCAAACTCCAGGCTGTGGGCAGAGTTAATCTGCAATACTGCATTCTAACCCTGTGCCACCATGGCTCCTTGGAGTAATAAAAATTTAAGATGTTAAAGAGCTATTTAGAATCACTATTTACTTTAGTACTATAGTGCATTAGCACTACACAGATGTCTGAATTGGCCATCCTGAGATCATGAATCTGGAAAGTTGGCCTAACACTGGACTATAAAAAACACTGTTCAAAAGAGAAGAAGTGTAAATATGAACTGGTGACGGGAGATTAGATGAGCAACAGGCAGATGTTTAACCTTTTCCTTGATTACCATGATCATGTTTGAGTCTGTGTTTGCTTGGGAATCTCACATTTCACTTGCAATGCTTACTTTGATCCTTGCAATGGTCCTCTACTTTGAAAACTGACCTTCTGAAAAAGAGTCAAAGGCCAACTAATTCTTAGTCATTGTAGCTAAAGTCACACAAGTAAATGTGGGAATTAGTTCTCATGTGATCAAAAGTAAAAGATGCGGGATCAGGTCTGTCTGTTACCAAAGCAAGGAAAGATGGATATGGTTTCACTCACACCCCACAACAAGTATAAGTAGTCCTTGACTTACGATCACAATTGGAACCAGAATTTTGGTGCTAATTGGTGCAGTCATTAAGTGAGTCATCGTGTGACCAGACTCAGTTTTACAACCATTTTTACTGCAAGTCCTTAAGCAAATCATGTGGCTGTTAAGTGAATCTCATGGTGATTAAGTGAATGTGGCTTACACAATTGACTGATTGTTGGAAGCCAGATGGGAAGGTTGCAAATTATGATCACTTGACTGCAAGACATGGCAACTGTCATAAATGTAAGCTGATTAGCAAGCCTTAAATTGCAAATTGTGTGAGGCACATCACTTTTTCCGAGGCCATGATATCTTTGGGCTGTTCTGCTTGAACAGTCGTAAGTTAAGGACTTATGTACAAATAGGTAAAGGTGAAGGTTCCCCTCGCACATATGTGCTAGTTGTTCCCAACTCTAGGAGGCGGTGCTCATGTCCGTTTCAAAGCTGAAGAGCCAGCGCTGTCCGAAGACGTCTCGGTGGTCATGGGGCCAACATGACTAAATGCCAAAGGGACCCAGAAAGCTGTTACCTTCCCACTAAAGATGGTTCCTATTTTTCTACTTGCATTTTATATGCTTTTGAACTGCTAGGTTGGCAGAAGCTTGGACAAGTAACGGGAGCTCACTCCGTTACTCGGCGCTAGGGATTTGAACCGCTGAACTGCCAACCATTCTGATCGACAAGCTCAGCATCTTACCCACTGAGCCACCACATCCCTGTGTTTATATATGTACAAATACAGAGCTGGAATTTCTAACCTCTTTTACAGAGCAGGTAGGAGAAAGAGGCACAAGAATTTGAACCCTTATTGCAGTATACATAGAACTGGCTCTTGAAATACAGCAGTCACTGGAATTCTTCTTTAATACCTTCTTGACTTTGGTACAATAAATCAGAGACTCTTGGGTCCTTATGGGCCTATTTATCTGTTCTAATCAAACCTGTCAAGAATAAATCTGACTGAAATAGCAGAATAATTATACTTCCAACTCATTAAAACTTCCAGGATTATTTGTAGGAGGTAAAAAGAAAAAAGAAAGCTGAACACTTATACATAACAAAAGTAATTTGTAGTATACATTTGTCATGAGCAGAAGACAAATCATTGAGCATTTCCAGAGATTATTTGCTTCTAAAAACATTTTAAAAGTCCTGACCTTGAAAAACGGAAAACCACTATCAGTACTGTGCAGATGACACCATACAATAACCCTACATTAGCAGCAAAGCAAACTGTAAACACGTAAGTGCTGACCCAAATACTCTGAAAGATACAAAAGAGGAAAACATATTTCATAATTAGATAGACACAATTCTTTGTGCTGGTGGTTTTATTATATAATTAACATTTTTCATTACTTTAATTAGAAACAAACAAATGTAAAAGCTGAAAAGATATTTTACAAGATATGTATTTTAAGTTTAAATAATTTAACAATAATTTACCTCAGAAGATGTTGGCCTTCTAAATTGGTAAATGAAGAATATTTCATTCTCTAGAACAGGGGTGTCAAACTCAATTTCATTGAGGGCTACATCAGGGTTGTGTTTGACCTCAGAGGGATGGGATGGGTGTGGCCAGGGTGGACATGGCCAGCTCAATGTCACTTGTGTCAGGGACACCTGTGGTGGCCTGAGCACTCTGCCAGCAAAAACGGGCTCCTGAGCTCCGTTTTTGGCTGCGACAGCTTCCTGCACCCCTCTGCCAGTGAAAAGAGAGCCCCTCCCAAGCTCCATTTTTGTTGGCAGAGGCATTGTGAGCTCCTCTTTCACTGTCTCCATGGCTGGATCTGGCCTGCGGGCCTTGAGTTTGATACCCCTGCTATAGAACACTGAGTATCTGCTAAAGCATATATGAAATTAAGGCTGTGCAAAGCATTCATAATGGGGTGCTTTGCAAACCAAGTTAATGAAGCCCTCCAGCCCTCTTTCTCAAAGCACTGAAGCAATTGCATCCTCTGAAAATTAGAAAAGCAAATGTGGATCCACATACATGTGGAAACAACCAGAGAAAGCATGATTTTATATATTCACAATATATTTTTATGCATGCCTCTTCTGCTTTCTTAGATCATGTCCGTATAAGGTTGACTGCTTGTACTCAAAGACTATATAGCATTCTGACATCCTTTTGATTTCTTATGAAACAAAAATATCATAGCATAGAAAAGAAGGCAAAATCACGAATGTAAAATTAAAAGTGCCTTTTAACAAATCTAGAGTTAAGCCATATTAATTTTTTATTTGCTTGGACAAATGCTACTTATTTTAATGCTACTGTATTTCAAAATCCTTGCTTTTCATTTCAAAGCATAATTGTCAAAATTTTACTATAAAGTCAGAGGGAACACTGAGTAAAACATTAGATTCTAATCAGAAAAACCAGCTATTTGTGTTTAGAAACAAAACAGAAGCTGGAATAGTCAGGAATTATGACGAAGATCTACTTCATCCCTAACATATGGAATTTTAAGGAAATCAAAATGATGGGAAATTATCCTCTGGTGAATAATTGACATTTGAATGAGGCAGTCTGATTATTTTCAATGTCATATTGTGGATTAATTCATATATAAATCATATTACAATGCATAGTCCTTAGAGCAAATTTGCCAAATTGAAATTATAATCACATCTGGAGTGAAGTCATTTCTTTGCAAAAACACTGAAGCATAGAACTTGGGAAAATGACTGGCTCAGCACTTACATATTAAAATGATGACTATGAATTTCAAGTAGAAGACAAGGAGACAACAAACAGAGGCTCAGGAAAATTTTATACAAATTGTGAAGAGCAAAAAAATAAAAATCCCAGTTTGAAACGAGAACCCTGGCTAAACACTCTAATGATGAACCATAGGAGAAAATTAATTTTGCAACAATATTCTAAGTGGTATATACAGGATGGGATCTGTAGTAGCTGCTACCTGATGTTGAAAAAATGATTAAAAAAGCAACTTTTGAGGCCTCCCAATAATGTCCCAAAGCTGATTTTTCAAAAGGCAATTGGACTTTGTTTTTCTTGAGTATCCTTGAAGATGTTTCGCTTCTTATCCAAGCTTCTTTCATTCTAACTGTTAGAACTGAAGAATCTTCTTGGATGAGAAGCAAAATGTCTTCAAGGGAAAAAACAAAGAAAAGTCCAGTTGTCTTTTGAAAAAGCACCTATGGGACACAAAAGGGAGGATTTATTTATTAAATTTATATGCCTTCCATCTCACTGTCAAGCAACTCAGGGCAGCTACAAGGATAAGGAGATGAAACTTTTAAGATTACTCCATATCCTGAAAAGATTGTGCAGTAAAGTTCAGCTTTACTTACCCATTCAGTTTTATCCACACTCCAGTATTTTTTTAAATCTCGGAACTGCATCAGCATTCCCTTTAGGCCCACCACAATAATACTTGCTAGCACACCCTGGAATGAAAGAGACATTTATTACAAGATGAAGTTCATTATTCTGGAGGAGTTATTTGTCAGAATATTCATGAACTGGCAGAGACATGGTAACAATGGGAGATGATACAGTCTGGACTCTTGAACATGTTTACAATCTCTCCTCTCTACCACGTTGGAAGAATCTGCTGTTGGTATTGTAACAATGGGAGCTGAAACAGTCTGGAGTCTGGGTGTGGCTTAGCTCTGAACTGAAACTACAAGGAACTCATTCTCTGTATACCCTGTCTGTGTTTGAACATGCTTACAATCTCTCCTCTCTACCATGTTGGAAGAATCTACTGTTGGTATTGTACATTTATTCATGTGTTATTATGAATATAAAGAAGTTAATGAAACCTGCTGAATAAGTTATCAATATGTGCTTTATGGATTTGATTTTTGCAACAAACTCCAACAGAAGTATTTTGGAAAAAGGATTGGCAAATCACAAGGCAGGCGCAGATATTGTTCATACATATATCTTTCCCTTTCCCCAAATATATATAATGCAAAATTAAAAATTAACCAAATAACTAAATATATTTAGCTGAATGCAATTGTTACACTTGTATCTACCACATGTCCCCATTTCTGCTCTGCCCCAGAACTCTGTTTGAACTTTTTTTTAAAGGTTTTCATCAGAAAAAGATTGGTTTTACATTCAGGTTCACCTATTTTCCTTTTTTTTTTTTTTTGTACTATTATAGGATACAGTATCTGAACTACAGCTTCCTTTTTTCTGTCTGGACTTTCAGGACTAAAGTAGAAATACAAAAAGTTTAATACTTCTAATACATAGGGGAAAAAACAGGTTGGATGAACATTCCCTGGCCACCTGCAAGTCAATTTCCAGCAAGCAACAATTTCCACAGGGCAGTATCGAATGTCTAGGTACTTTAACGAAATTGAGATTATGGTTCAATGTGATAGGTGAACCCAGTCTAGCTCCATTCAGCTGGTTAATCACAATTCTCCCAATGAAGAGAATGATGAATTTTCATAGGTTTTTACAACTAAAATTGGATCAATGTTTGTTTTTATCCAATTTTCTGTGCTGCTTTTGGTGATGTTGGTCAGAAATATCCATCTTGTTCAGTTCCAAGCTGGGAGAAAGACACTGGAAACATGGAGGCTAATTGAAAAGATGGTTTATTGATGAAGCAGAACCACATGGGTTTGTGGTTCTGGGCAGTTGACAAAATGGAATTGAGAGTGGGTGGGTTTTATGGTTTATTTGGGCTTTGCATTTGAGCTTCCTGTTCCTGTGCAAGAATGTGTATATTATTTGCTGTTAGATTCCTATGAGGTCATGTAGGGGTCATAGCTAGGTAAAAGAGGAAATGCAAATCCTAGGTGTTTGTCTGAGCTAAGTTTGGTTGAGGCTTGGACTGCCGTGGGAGTGGTGCAATGAACGGGCTTGTGTTCTGAAAGGGTGTTGGGCAATTCCTATTCTGGCTTAATGGCTTTGTCCTGTGTTGGATCTTGAGTAAGGGCTAATCCTACCATTCTGCCTTTGTTCAGACTTTGCTGCAGGGAGTTTCTGAATATCCTGTCTTAAATGGGTCTGCATTTCTAAAAGTTGCCTCCTCAGTTTCTGCTTTGAGGTAGGGAGATTGGGGCTGCTTTCTGCCTCTAAAAATATGTTTCTCCATTTCTCCCTTTGGGGAAATATAATATTCTGCTTTTTAAAAATATTTCCCAAAATATTTCATTCTTCTAGGAGGGGTAGGTGCTGACTTTCTGCAGTGAGATCAGCAGCTAGATAAATTTGATTAATTAATCAAATAATGTTTTATAAGCTCCAGCTATTTCCTTTCTTCAGTGGTGGACAACCAAAAGCAATTCATGATTAAAATAATGAATGACCTGTTGGCAATCATACTTTCCACCTGTGCATCACAGCCTTCTTGAATTTTATGATTGTTCTTGAATGAATTTGCAATCTATGTGTACTTATATATGTAAAAATAAGCTCTATCAAATGCAAAGGGATTTTCTTCTGCATATTATAAAGAGTATTAATTCCTTTGAATCAAAGCTGGCTCTTGGCAACTATATTCAGTGCACCTTGATTTCTGATTGTTCAGTGCAACAATATTTATTATTTCCCTACAATGATGTCCCATCTTTCCACCAGAAACTTAAAACAACATATGACAAATGGCCATATGGAAGTGGTTGCTTCTGGGATTATTGTTTTTAAAAACTTCCCAATGTAGCCTATAGCTCGGGGATTTTTAGTGATCTCTCATCAGAGTTCTAAGCAAATCCAACCTAAACCAGAAAATAGCTGAAGTAAATTATCCTACAGTTGCTTTCATTTCTCCTGTTCATCTAAATCTCTTTGCAAGCATTTTTCTTACACAAAAACCATTTTCTTTCTTAAGCAAAAAAAGAAAAAAGAAAAAAAATGCTTCACGGTTTATACACTGGAAGAATAAATTGTATTCTTGGGCTGAGGCCAAAAACCCCAGCTCAGCCTTACAGCCTATTTTAATCTTATATAGTAGGCGCACAATATCTGAGCTTCTTATCCAAGCAAAATAAAAAGTACTTTTGCACATGTTTTTTGTTCTTGGTATGCAGCAATAGAGTGTCCTTTCATGGAATCCTAAAGAAAAGTGGAATGATCATTTTCAGAAATAATAATTTCAGCTAAGTAGCAATGCAATCCAAATAATAATAGTAAAGAACTATAGTAATAAAAGTAGAATAGTAATTAAATAATAAGCACATAATAATAGTTAAAAGGAAAAAAAAGAATTGTACCATGGGTAGCCAGTATAACAGTGGTCCTATTGTATAGATAACCACAAGAACCAATATACAAGATATCAGACAAGCCACCTAAAAAGAGTTGGGGAAAAAAGTATCATATTATTCAGATTCCAAAACTCCTACAAATAAAAGTTCTTGGTTTTCTCAAAGTTGCTGAGCATAACAAACCACTGCAGACATATAAAAATTAACAGAGATGAGAAAGGGACTTTTGGCTCTCTCACAATCTAGAATTGGAAACATTTGAGAATAAATTAATATTTTTCTTGTTATAGGTTATCCCTACATTACGCAAGAAGAAAATGCTTGTATCAAATAACAGGATATACAACATAAATTTAAAAGCGGCACATGTTATTTCGGATACCTTACCAAATAAGAGCTTTAAAGGAGAAAACTCAAGGATATAAAGTTGTATTTTTAAAAAATAACAATGTGTTCACTGTCTACTTGCATCTATATAAATGTTGAAATCCACAGATATTGGTCTATACCCTCATTTCATTTAAATCGTGTAGGGTGGATTTGCATTTGTACAGATGCAAATGTAACAAAACCATCCCTACCATGGCTTTTGACTGTGGTGGAAAATCTGGGAAATATTGTTCTAATATATCTATCTGAAGATTTCCAGATAGAGAACCCAGCTCTAGTTATCCCAGCAAACTAATGCCGGAGCTATACAATGTTTCTATATGTTAGTCAGGGGTGGCTTCTTGCTTCTGTAACTGCCGGTTCGTTCAGGGATGTGCGCATGCGCATGTGCACAAGCAAAAAACAAAATGGCAGCACCATAGGTGCCGCCGATACAACTGGTTTGGGGACATGGCCGGCTGAATTACTACCTACTTGGCCGAACCAATAGGAACCCACCTCTGATGTTAGTGAATTAAATCTTTACTTTAAAAAAAATATGCTTCAGATTTGATTTGTATGAGCATAATTTACATTTTCTTAAAGAAGTTTCCCTTTTGCTTTGTTTTACTCTGTCTACGAATAGAATAGAATTCTTTATTTGGCCAAATGTAATGGGACACACAAGGAATTTGTCTCCAGTGCATCATAAGCTCTCAGTGTACATACAAGCCACAAGTGAGAAATCATGATCAAGCTGTATACCAAGCGGTGGAGTATGATAATCCCTAGTTTGATAGTGAAATGCCTGCAAGAAGACAACCAAGATCAGAGAGCAGCAAGGACCATGCAGACTGTAAGTACTTTGATGTGACCAACTCACTCTTCATTTTAAGTAAACTTTGTTTTGACTTTAAGAATTTTACATTGGATGACACATTATGGAAGATATATGACTGTCATCAAAAACAAGTAGCTCTTGTCATTTTTTTTCTTCTTTTTGATATTAAAAAAGGACTATGTGATGATTTTTGTGTCAAATGTTTCTCCAACATGTAGAGCATCATTTTGGCAAAGAAATAAGAAAAGGAAAGGAATTTCTATTTTTTATAGCTATACACCCTTTTCATAAATGTGACTCTGCTCTAAATGCCAAATGAATAAGTACTATAAATTTTAAAGTTCCTTTGTCATGCTGATTTGGTTCTTAATTACACTATGATTTGCAGGATTTTTAAAGATGATGTATTAAAAGCTAATACTTCTCTCTGAGTTGAATAATCATTGTATAGAGGCCACTGTCCCTACCCATTTATCATGGCAGTAGGAATACCTGTGTTTTTGCTCCAGTGTTGTACAGAAGTACGGTTCGTCCCATGGCTGCTGCACTTGGTATGCAAAAGAAAAATGAAGGGATCACATTGCTGAGGCCATGAGCCAAGAACTCCTGAAAAAGTTGTTTCAAAAAAATAAGGAAGGGGCTAGGTCAAAGTGCAATCAAATATCCTCAACTGAAATCAACTTGCCTTCCCATCTCTTATACCAGGGTGTCAAAGTTAAGGCCCATGGGCCGGATCCAGCCTCCGGGTTGCTTAGATCCCAGGCTCCATTTTCGGCCACAATGGCCTCCTACAGCCCTCTGCCAATGAAAGTGGAGCTCGGGGGGAATTCCATTTTCACTGGCAGAGGGCTGCAGTTTGGGAGCCCGGTTTCATTGACATAGCGCTTGGCCCACCATAGCCATCCCCAACACGACTGATGTCAGGCTGGCCATGCCCACCCTGGCCATTCCCAACCCAGCCTCCCGAGGTCAAACACCATCCTGATGCGGCCCTCAATGAAATTGAGTTTGACACCCCTGTCTTATACCATCGTCTCCAAAAAAATGCATCCTGAAAGCAAATTTTAAGGCTACTATTTTTTTAACCTGGTTATCATCCACAGAGTAATGAAATCTTTGTGCAGAGTCATGGGCCAGAGCTAGAGATGCCACATAACCGACTAATGCAACTCCAAAAGCCTCTGTCACTACTTCAGGGAGGATCTTCAAAGGTGGAGATCTTGGTGCTGGTATCCTGCAAAAGTAAGGACACTTTTAGGTGGCAGAAAATGTCCCACTGAAGAATGTGGCAAAACTGTTGTGAATATTAAATGGATATCCCAGATTAATCAGATGTACTGTACATTATTCTACTATTACAAATATCATTAGAACCTGCAAAGCGCCATGCATTACAGGTACTGCATTTTTTTCTTCTGTTCAATCATGCCCAATTCTCAAAACTGAATCTATTTATCAGTTATCTACTCAGTTCTGTACTCTTTAAAACTGTTAAAACATTAGCATGGCTAAAGATCATGATCTGGATTATGCAGTTTAAATTTGAACTCAGTCAACAGTTTAATTTGTTGATAACTGTATGCAAGTCTCAAAGTCAAATGCCACCATGTTTTTTCTAATGTTAGAATAATTTAACTGGTGTATCTTGCAGCTTGCTTTTTTGTTGATTGATTAGTTTTGCTCTGTTTCATTGGTGTCTCCATAGTATTTCTGTGTGAACGAAGTATGCGATTAGTACAGATAATCTTTAACCTACAACAGTTATTTCGAAAATCAAAATTACAAAGGCAATGAAAAAGATGACATGACTGTTTTTCACATTTATGACCGTTGCAGCATCCCCATGGTCACATGATCAAAATTCAGACACTTGGTAACTGACTCATCTTTACAATGGCTGCAGTGTCTTGGGATCATGTCATCACCTTTTGCAACCTTCTGACAAGCAAAGTCAATGGGGAAACCAAATTCAGTTAATAATCGTATTACTAACTTAACAACTGCATTAGATTCACTTAACAATTGTGGCATGAAAGCTCATAAAATGGGGCAAAACTCACTTAACAAATGTCTCACTTCACAACATAAATTTTGGGCTCAACTGCCCCATTTTACCATCTTTATTTGCCACAGTTGTTAAGTGAACCACGTTGTTAAGTTAGTAACACGGCTGTTAAGTGAATCTGGCTTCCCCATTGACTTTGCTGGTCAGAAGGTCGCAAAAGGTGATCACATGGTTGTACATTTGAAAAACAGTCATGTTACTTTTTTCAATGCCATTGTAACGTCAAACAGTCACTAAATGAATGATTGTAACTCAAGGACTACCTGTATATACAAGAGAATGTATGTAATTTTAAATAAAGTGGCCAAGCAAGCCACGCAAAGGACACAAAGTTTTTAAGAAGCCAAAGCTTTAACTTGTCTCTTTCAAATGCTGCGCATAAGTTTTAATAAAAATTGTATTCTTATCTCATTCTTTGTCAAATATTTTTAAATTTAAAGTGTCGTTTAATAAAACCTAAATGTGGGTGCTGGGAAAACAAAATGTTCTGATAAATCCAATCCCTTGTCTGGTTATATTTTTCTTCTTTCAAAAAACATTCCTGCCCCCACAAGATGCAATGAAAGGAAATATATTTATAGCGACTCCTGAGCTTATTTCAATGCATTTCAGGTACTGTGTATGTGTGGGGGCAGAGAACATTCCATAGCCTTCAAATTTCCCACCACTGAAATAAATTACTGTAAAAGAAGCAGAGAGGCACAAGAGGTAGATCTAATGTCAAATTTCTCCACCCAAGATTAAGCCCCATCTGTGACCAGAAAGAGAATAGTCTATAAGTGAAAAACAAAGGACAGATTATTTTATTATTGAATGTATAAATTTAAAAGCATTTGATTTATCCCTTTGAAAACTCTCTGTATGAATTACAGAAAGTACACTCAAAAAGATGCAGAAAACATTTGCAAATAGTGATATGTTATTAAAAACAAAATTATTAGGTACCAGATTCTGATTTCATTTCTTCTCCTGAGATGTTATCATTTGTATTAATACAAACTGTGCATTTTTATTTTAATTCTTCAATTGTTTTGTTGCTTAGTTCACATTAACAACTTAAACCTACTGTATAAAAACTGGGTAAGAAATAACTATATTTCCATATGTGGATACATGTATATAAACACTATTTATAGAAGACTCATTACCCTTTTGGAATATGTCCCACAACTTCCAGGCCAAAACTGCGCTCCATGTCAGCAGAATAGCAGATGAAAGAGGTAGCAATTACCTATTGTCAAGCAACAATAAAGATTAAGTGATTTGAAACAAGGTTATATATATATATATATTTTAAAGTACAAGAAGTAGCATAACTGTTTTTATACTTTCCTTGAAATATGGATTAAGACCAACTATACAGCCAACTATGAGATGGGGTCACTTGTTGAATACCATAATGATCAACTCAGGTTATGGGTTCAGGGGAGACACAAAGGAATGTTCTTTGATGCAAAGGCCATATGGTTTCTCATAAAAAAACAATGGGAGCTTTGTAGCCATACTTCCTTCAGTGACATGTCTTAATATGTTTTAGAATTCCAAAGGTGTTCCCTCCATATTCATCAGCATTTTACAGGGCGGGGCATAACCTTTTCCTAGGGGGTCACAGCAAGATCGACAGCAGTTTACAACTTCCACGACACCTCATTTTAAAGCCCCAATGTTCTCTGCCGGATTGAGATCTGGC